CTTTCACCTTCGATCCTCATCCACCACCTTGACCGCTCACCACTACGCCCAAACCAACCACTGTGCCCAAGCCAACCACCACCTCCATCAACAAAAATCACCACTACTACCACCGGCAACAAATCCTGTCAGATCCACCACCAACACACCACACCATAGCCACTGCTACCACCAGGCCACTTTTGACCCCCTCACCCTCACCCTCACCCCGACACCACCACTGCCACACAATAGCCATTTGCGACCATTACCTTACCACAACCAACAGTGTCAAATCCACCACCTCACCACCACCAAAATCCACCACTAACATTTCCAGATCCACATACACCATTGACAACAAAAAAATCTCAAAAACCACCTCCATCACCATCCCTCAAAACCGCAGATCCACAACAAAAAAACCAATGAAAGTTACTCGATTAGAATTACTGGGAAGAGAGGATTTTCAGAGATTTTAGATTTGAAACTCAACCTTCAGTCCAAGCAATTTGAACTCCTCTGACCAGCAATATGGATTGAGGGTGGTGATGGGTTTGGGCGATGACGGCGAGCGATAGCGACAAGAGGGAGGCAGTGAGTTGGTTTAGAGAGAGAGAGAGAACATGAGAGGGAAGGGGAGGGGAGGGGAGAGGATGCACGAGAGAGAGATAGAGAGGGGTGAGGGAGTTGTGAGTGATAAATTAGGGTTAGGGTTTTAATATATTACCTGATTTTTGAATAAATAAACTTTGGACCTGATTTTTAAAAAGACATCTTTAAACCCCTGATTTTTTATAATTCCCCTTAAAATGTATTTAATCGTCAAGGCTCACAATTGGCCTAGTTAAAATTAATTAGGTGCCTTTTCATGGTTTGACTAATCCCTACAATCCGATTTAAATTTGAAAGAGACTCTAATCTCGATGGATTGGCCTAATATGTTAATGGCGTACTTCAAATTCATCACAAACATATGCAGGGACGGATTTAGGGGGCTACAATGGATTGGCCTAATATATTAATGGCGTACTTCAAATTCATCAGAAATACAATCAAACGGACTCTTGATTTACATTGAAATGAGTGATGGATAAGTGAATAATATTTGTTGGTCAATTAAATAAAAATAAAGTTTGATTGATTATAAAAAATTTATAATTTTTATAAGAAGACTAGCTAAAATTTATCTAATGATTATGGCCTACTTAAAACTCATCAACGAGCTATATCGTTGGTTCAACTTGTCCCTACAATCATGCCCAGATTTCGAAGAAGTCTCTAATACAGTCAAAAGTAACTACGGCATGCAACCTATCCAAAATATCTTAAAAATGATTTTGTGATCCGATTCACACCTCATACATTTGAGGGACGTTGTCTATAAATTCGGGAACGGATTTCGGATTTCCAAATTAATTACTTCTCTCATAAGAACTCTCTTTATCCATTTCTCACGCCTTTCGCGCGTTCATAATTATCGCCGGAAAATATTTACGAAGTACATTTGGAAGGTAGCATAATTATGGTCTTTATGCAAAGAAACATCGCCGGTGAAATGAAAGTGAAAGCAAATTCTCCCTTTTCCGGCGCCGGCATAGGCGGCGAAATGCTGGAACTCGACGTTCAAATTATTACTTCCGGTGGCCTACGCATTCCTGCTCATTCTAGCGTCCTGGTATGATGTTTGTTTGATTGTTTTCTATCCTAAGCCTCACAAACATCGAATATGTTATTCAATACTTATATAATTATATCTGAATTTCTTCGAAATCAAATGCATTCGTCCACCGACAACATTTTCAGAAAAATCAGTTCCGAATTGGATTATTTGAAAGCAATTTTTTGGTTAATTATTTTTTATCTTTATAGGCTTCGGCATCGCCGGTGCTGGGGAGCATAGTTAAGAGACCGCAAAAGCACTGGAGCTCCAAGCAGAAAATTCCGATTCTCGGCGTTCCACCCGACGCCGTTTCTGTGTTCGTGCAATTCCTGTATTCGTTCGAGTGAGCATGATTATTTCTTTTGTTTTCTATATTAGTTTTTAGATACTTATTATTTTGGTTGGTGGTGAACTATAATAATTGCAAGATTATTACTATATAATTTTGTAATGTAAATGACGAAAATTCAATTTTGGTTTGTTCAGGTGTAGTGAGGAGCAGATGGAGAAGTACGGGATTCACCTGCTGGCGTTGTCGCATGTATACTTGGTACCAGTATTGAAGCAGAGATGTACAAGAGGGTTGGCGGCGGGGTTGACGATTGAGAATGTGGTGGACGTACTACAGCTTGCTCGACTCTGCGATGCACCTGATCTTTTCCTCAGGTGTATGAAGTTGTTGTCTAATAATTTCAAGGCTGTTGAACAGACAGAAGGGTGGAAGTTTCTGCAAAATCATGATCCTTCTGTTGAACTCGAAATTTTACAATTCATGGATGAAGCAGAATCTGTATGCACCTAAACACGACCCATCGTTAGTTCATATATCATTTCAAGTAGAGGAAAACTTCCAAGTCTTGTCGAAAATGACAGTGAATTATGAATGTTGTGATTGGTCAAGAATAGCACTAAACTAAATAATATTCTTTATAGATTTGTGGTTGTTTATATGATTTATTTTCCATACTTGATTCAGTTTGTGAATTGTGATTAGTATTGGTAATACTGGTTCTAATTTGTTTGTAATAGAGGAAAAAGAGGATAAGGAGGCACAGACAGGAGCAGGGCTTGTATTTACAACTAAGTGAAGCAATGGATTGTCTCGAGCACATATGTACAGAAGGGTGCACGAGCGTGGGGCCTTACGACATGGATCCTAGCATAAACTTGGATCCATGTAGCAAGTTTTCGACTTGCCATGGTCTCCAGCTTCTGATTAAGCATTTTGCAGCTTGTAAGAAGAGGGTTAACGGGGGTTGTTTGCGCTGTAAGCGAATGTGGCAGCTCCTTAGATTGCACTCCTCAATTTGCGACTATCCTGATGAATGCAGAGTGCCCCTGTGCAGGTAAAAGAATCTTTCTAAAGACTTTTATTTATTTATTTATTTAGTTATTAGTACAGGATGCTTGTGAATTATGTTGTTGTTACTTTTCAACAAATATGAATCAAATAAAAATTGAGAATGATCCTTGCTATCATTAGTATATGCTGTAATTAACTATATAATTAAAATAAAAAAAGCATACTGTTGGCATCAAACATTTTCTTAGGCACAAGCATATACGAATCAATTAGCATACTTTATAAATCCAGTGATTCATCGAGTGTGCATTATAATCATATATGAGATGTTACAATTCAAGATACTGTCATCTTTGAATCATATTGGAAGATGTCAACATCCCATTTGGTTGGAGATAACTCCTGTCCCACACTGTCTGTATCCAACAATGTGTTCATTGCACGATACACCGATGTGACTTGTCCTCTTGGTGATATCTGATTAGGTTTGTTAGCTTCTCTATTATGGCAAACATGAAGCTATCAGTCACGTAGGGTCAAGTTGTTCTTTGTTTGTTCCCTGGAATCCTGATACGTCTGCTTTCATTCACATAATGGATTAGTGCCCCTTCTGAAAACTGTAGAAGATATTTCCATGACCGATTATATACTGAATAATTTGCGATGGTTGAAATGGGGTTAGTTATCCAAATACTGTTGCTCAAATTGAGGGGATAGAATGGATGTACGAGTTGGAGCATTAGATCAGCAAATCCGGGGTCAGAAGTATGGGAACTTAAAAGCGAGTTTACAACATTTCCCAAATATGTATTGAGCAGACTGATGGTGTAGCTTGCATTAACAACCAACTATTTCTTCTCTAGAATTTCACGTCAGAAGTGAAAGGAATTGAGTTGTGTATACTGTGCTTGAAAATCTTGGAGAGGTATTGCTTTTGCTACCAATTTGATCTGTCCAACCTTTAGATATGATATCTCATCTGATTTACATGTTACAATGTGCACTTGATGATAAAGCTCCCTTGTAAAATTTTGGCTGGGAGCTTAGATACATCTTCTCCTAATTTCAAAAACTTTTTCTTTTCAATAACTTCATCATTATTTAGGTATGAAGGATGCATACATGTAATTGCATTTTTCTTCAGGATATATAGAAGAATAATGAATTCTTTATGGTATTAGCAGTAACTGTAGAGTATCTAAAACTTTTCTCCTCTTCGATGTTGATGCTGCAGGCAGTTCAAATTGAAAGTGCAACAAGATAGAAGAGGAGAGGATGCTAGGTGGACATTACTCGTAAGGAGGGTGGTCTCAGCCAAAACTATATCTTGCTTGACTCTGCCCAAGCATAAGAGAGAAGAGAAACCAAGAACAACCCAAAATCATCATGACATTAGAAGCTTCAAAATATAAAAGTAAACTCAAATAGATACAAAAGTTTCTTGAACTGGAATGTGAAAATCATGTGTAGTAGGCCTCAGAAATTGTGGTGAGTTCTTTATAACCTGTAAATGAGAGTTGGTTGTTTTGCTTAATAGTTGTTATTTTGGCATGCTGTAGCCCCCCTTTTGTTTTTGTGGGTAGGCTAGCTATGAAGTGGTTTGTGATCAAAGCTTGTGCATGAGTGGTTTCTTTTCAATCTACTTTTCTCCATTTATAGTAAATATGATGAAGTTACTTGAATTATTTTGGACATTGAGGTTGCTTTGGCATGTATAATTGAGCCTTACAATTGCAATCCAGCACCATTAGCCTCCCAACTACATTTCCCACCCCGCCATGTTGTTTCCCCTTCCCCCGATACATACATACACGAAGCCGGACATCTTCACCATGGAGTCAAAAATCAAGTAATAATTATTTTTCTCAAACATCTTTTTCTATTAAACAGTCGTTTCATCATCCCGATAGAGATTTTCTTCTAAATTATTTTTTCATAATGGTTTGATACGAAACTCAACAAATAAATGAATGCTAATCTTGGAAGTGAGATCAAAGTAAGAACTTGAAATTGGCACAAATGTATTCAACATAGATGCATTTACTGAAATTAAATATTTACATTATTAATTTATGATAATTAATAAACATATTAAAAAACATACATCTAGAAAGAGAACTAATAAAAGACTGAATAATGCTAAAAACTTACAAATTGGGAAATTAATTTATTAAGCAGAAAGCACGAACCCATATTTTTCTACCAAATAAATTAACTGAAATTGATAAAAGTATGAGGACTCTTCGCCCATAACAAAAATCTGTTATTTGCTCCAAGTATTATGCTCGTACCATACCTTTCAGGAAAAATAAAAATAAAAATAAAAATTGCAACGTACCATAGAAAACGTTGCCATTGATTTTCATTATTTAATCACTTAACCATTTGATATATAGCATGTTTTATGACTATGACATCCTTGCTACTGCTCCTCTGTTGAATGACTTTTTTTTTTTATTTCTTAAAACCGACCCGATAATTTTTGGAAAAGAATAATCTTGTAATCAAGGTATGTTTGTAAACTAAATTCTTAGTTTTTTTTTACTCGATTTCTTTAAATTGCAATTAGATAACTCGACCTACTCTTAATTTCGATTTTCTTAACCTTTTTGAGGTGGTGATTTCATGAAAATATTTATTCACTTTGCATGCTTTGCAATTGCACTTTAAAAACATGCAATGAAATGTTTATTATTCTTTGGAAATTTTAACCTTAAGCCTAATAATTAGTAGTTATTCTTGATTTAAAGTCAAAAAGTAATCAAAGAAAGTAACTTTTTTTCGTCAACATAGTAAATAGTAATTATTTGACCAATGTTTGTTGATCATGAATAATCTCAATAGCTCGAGAAAGGCCGTCAAATGGTCAAGAAACATTTGAGTTCATCACAAAATATATTGATTAATTTCCACGTTTTGATGATAACAAATGCAAGTGGGCTGTGGGTGTCATATAGGACTATGAATTGCAAGCTTAGAGAGACACAAAGAACTAAAAGAGAAGTGTTGTCTATAGACAAGACGTTACATATGGAGTAAAAGAACTGGGAATCATGGATCTCTTTTTAAAGTTGGAGATGAATCGACGTGTCAAACGATAGTGCAAAAGCATTTTCAGCTATCAAAATTCGAAACCCAACAAGGGTTTCCTTGTTCCCCACTTTTAAACGTCAAATTCTAAACACCATCGAAGGTTCCCCCACTCTTCTTGATTGTGAAAACCATTTCCTCAACCAGGTATCTTTCTATGGCCCTACAAATTTGATCTATGAAAGTTCTTGGAACATGAAGGACACGAGAATGGCATAAAAAGATAGAACAATATTGGAATTGGGGTTTCCATGGGGTATACTTTTGATATTTCAAAGAGAAATCAACAAGCATGCTAGCCCACAACAAATTATAGCCATTCAAGCATCTAAGTGGGCTGCTCAAAACCAGGAATCATGCATCTTTCTTTCTTTCTTGATAATCATTATATGATTCTTGTGATGATTTTGATTGATAGAATTTTATTTGCTGGATTTCTTTTTTAAGATTTGCTCATATTAATTAACTTTTGGTTTATTAAAATTAGTTAGACTATAGTTTAAAAATGCCCCGAAAACGCATTCGTATATTTTTTATAGTAACTTTTTGATGAACTCTTTATATTTCATGAGTAGGCTCTTCTTGATGTGATAAATTAGTGTAATTAAGAATTTCATAGATATCAAGTCTATATATAAGAAAAATAGGTATAGAGCTAGGTAGGTCCGCTCTTCTCCGTCTATTCATGACAGATACAAACATGGAATCACTGACGTCATATTGACTCGTTCAAATACAAAAAATCTTGTTCTCAAAACATATAATAACCATCAACATGAGTGTTCTAAACCCTAGCTTCGCAATTTTTAGAAGTGTCGAATTATCTAAAACAAGACTAGATCCAATTTATTTTAGACGAGAAAGTATCGTGAATAGGTGAATTTCATTTTCACATATAATGAAGTTCGTGACTGATATTTCTATGCTCATGGCATGCCCAAGTTGAGTGCAATCACCAACAGATGGTGAATCATGTGATAATTGATGATGTTGAATTGCTTTGGTCTTTTCGTACCCACCACCACTAGGCACTTTCGGCGTTCGTGCACAAGATTTATAGTAATGTGTGGTTTCCCATTTGAGTAGCATCATCATTAATCCTCTTTCCATTGATTTATTGATTTTTCCCGTGACTTATTTAGAAACTGTTTAATTTAAATAAAGATTAACAGTGAATAAGTGAATAGTGCTTGTGAATTTATTGAAAGTTTTAGTTAAAAATGAAATTTGACAATTTAGAAATATAAATTTTGCCATACCGAGATAAGAAGAATTCTATTATATTGTTCATCGAACAATATGAAAGAAAAATTATTACAGATAAGAAACGAACAAATTAATTGACGACACCTGAAAAAATTGTTACTTCGCTCCTCCGATAACCCAAGGAAAGGGCTGGGACGCTCTCCCTTTACCGCTATGACGATCAAGTTAGCTTATGAAGAGGATGAGTGAGCATCCTAAACGGAAATGATCAATTATTTTAACAAATTTAGAATTTTAATAATATATGATAATTTTAGAATTTTTTTCCCGTCGATTAAAGTTTTGTTTATGGTAGTTTTAATATATTAGATTAAGATTTCTATTATAGTATTTTGAGTTATCCTTACATAATAGGATTGGACAAATCTACTTGTACATAGGGCGTGCCATTTGGCCATTATGTGAACCCTTATGGTACCCCCTATGTACCCATAGCAAAACCCAATAGGATTTTATTGTATTGTAGAAGTTAGACGATTCCAGTCTTTTGAAAAATATGATTTAATGAAATGAAAAATTAAGTGTTCTTAATAATGCAAACACATTCACGAAATGCTTTATGAATCAATGAGTGTTTCATTCCTACTTTTCTGTCGTTCTTGAGTGAATCATTTTGATCTAGAAAGATGTTCGTGATTTTCATAATTTCATGCTTTCATAAACACTACTCTACATCAAGAAGAAAGTAATATATGTTACGTGCGTGTAAAAGTGGGAAGAAGACCAATAGTAATTACATTTACATTTTATGTAGAGGAAATTGTACTAGACGACAATTTTATTTTGGTGAAATGGGTACCATGACGTGTTCAAGGTCTTGAGATCGAGCATGATGTTATTGTGCTCCTGTTATTCCATGATACTCAATTTTATGGTAATCAAAGGTACAACTCATAGGCATTCATATTCCTATATAAGTCGAGTTCTCACCGTCAATTTCATATCAACATTGACGAACTCGATCTTTACTTGTTCGAAAGATTCATTCTTGATAGTTGGTACTAATAATTCAACAATACCACATACTCTACTTAGGAAGGCACGGGATAAAAAAGTTATAATCAAGATTTTTAAGATACAATATTTCAATTTGAATGTCTATTGTATCACTTGAGCTCATATAATATTCTTCATTAAATACTTTTAACTATGAATGGGAAGATCAAGTTCTACATTTATGTTTATAGTTTACAAGGTGCGAAGTATGAAAATTAATTAGGAGCCATTCTTGGTGGGTTGCCCAGAATCTTATCCAAGCCCAAATCATTTTGGGTTACGATTTTGAAAAATTGTTGGATCTTTTTCAACTTATTGGGCTTCTCAGCCTGGCCCAACAATCCAATTTTCCAAGAAAGGCTATTGGGTAGGTTTGCATACTTCCATCAATGCATGTAATGGCACTAAGAAGGGATTAAAGGATTTTAGCAAATTATTTTTTTAGCTTTAAACTTTGTCACACTTCTTTTCTAACGACGGCCGGAACATGTGATTTAATTCGATGCAAAGTAAAATTATTGTGAATGCGAAGTGCCATCATAATGTTATTATTATTATTATTATTATTTTTTATTTTTATTTTTTTGAACATTTTTAAGTGATTATTAATAGTAACCTCTTGAGAAAATCTCATTTCAAAAATTATATTCAATATTTTAGTCTTTTATCCATATTTACATGCATTTTATATGAGTAATAGGAGAAGTTAGTTTAGGCGAAATATTTAAATTTATTTACAAGTAAATAAGCTTATATATAAGTAATTAATTTTTTTAAAAAAATAATCATATTATTAATTAAAGTTAAAATAAGTTAGTTAGTTATTTTCAATTTTAGAAAAAAAGTACTTTTTTTTTACTTCTCAAAGTTCAAATATGAGAAAATAGAATAGTATAAAAATGTTTGTAGACAAAAAGTAAATTTATTTATAAATAAATAACTTTTATTAATTAAAGTTAAAATATGTGTGTAGACGTTATAACTCTCATTGATATTATTTTTATATATATGAATACATCGTTATAATAAAATTGCAATTTTTTTTATTTTTTTTGTATTTTTTTAAGTTTTATAACAGCAGTAAAAATATTGCTTAAAAGTAATTAAAAAAAATCAGACAAATTGTTGTCGTTAATTTATTATTTTCTTGGCGCCAGTTGCCTGAATTTACCGATTTACATTAATACATTGAGATAATCCTGTGACTGAGTTTCCTTCTTGGCAATCGTGATGCATGTCGCCACAATCTTAGACCAAGTTCAAGCATGTACGTCTCTCCCTATCTATCGCTCTCGCTCTCGCTTTCGCTGATTTCTCTCCACATATTCAATTTATTATACACAGATTTGTCAACTGTGCCCATCACCGAAATCTGTAGAGCAGAAGAATAATCAACAATGGCTTCCAACCCGGATCTCGATGTTCCGGACCAACCCGGTCTTGAATTAGCCCAATTCGCTGCAGGGTGTTTCTGGGGAGTGGAATTGGCGTTCCAGAGAGTGGAGGGAGTGGTCAAAACTGAGGTGGGCTATTCTCAGGGCCATTTTGACAACCCGGATTACAAAATTGTGTGTACTGGTACTACCAACCACGCTGAAGTGGTTCGTATCCATTTTGACCCGACTGTTTGCCCTTATACGAATCTTTTGTCCCTCTTCTGGGGCCGCCATGACCCCACTACTCTCAATCGCCAGGTACATTATAGTTTCTGGATTTTCGATACTGTATTTGGTGAATTAGATTGTTTCGAATTGATCAAATTATTGAAACCCTTGCATCCACAATCTTACTTTCATGTAATTATTTTCTGTGAACAGGAAAATTACAGTGAATCCCCATCTCGTATATATTGCAATCCTTTGTATAAGAATGGCTTTTCACAGTATGAAGATTTGATCGAGAAAAAAGAGAAATATTTTGTTATATAAAATTTGAAAAACGATAATTTGCATGAGAATTCTTATCTATATTATATTAAATATGTGAGAATATTTTTTGGACGATTCTAGTCCTAATATAATTCAGTTATTTCAATAATATCTTACTTTTCTTTTTTTCAATATATAATTTATTTAACAATTTAGTTACCATCAATATACATGTACATTTGACAGATTCATTTCGCTTGTATGAATTCATTAACGTATGAATTCCCTATTATTAATTCTCAATAAATTAACATTTACTTTCTTTTAATTTATTTTCATATTCATTTATGCATTTCAATGTTAAGTTAATAAGAATTCCACATTCAAGAATGCATTTCATTATTCATATCTATGTATGCTAATTAACATTCAGTTTTACTTAATTGAAAATTAACACGGTGTTTGGTAGCCATTTTTAGAAAATTTTTTACTGTTGGAACAGTAAAGTGGGCCCATTGCAGCGGTCCTTTTTTACTCAGCAGAGAACAAATTCTCAAAAATAACACTTTCAGCATACAATGAAATAGATGTAAAGGGGTATAAAGGTAATTTTACTTGGATTTATCAATAAATGCAGTCGTCATAATGGCTACCTAACAGATATAATTTTTCTACAAAACAAATGAAAATGGCTATCGAACAGGGGCTAAATAAATGATTCAACATTCATTGTTACGCATATATTACCTGATATTAATTTTAAATTAATTAATATTAATGCATATTCAAATATTACTTTTACAACGCTTATAAAGCATTTCATAATAACGTGCAATGCACGTTCAACGTTGACTAGTTACATAAAATGTCTTGTGGTAGTGTTGGGACCAACCGGCTCACTTTTGGGGTTTCTGGACACTGATTGGGCAATTGGGACCAACATTTTTTTTTGCTTTCGTGAAAAATAAAAATGAAATAAAATAGCCGGTGTGGGCCGCAGACTTGGCTGACCAGAGTCGGCTTGAATGACTAATGCCCACCTAGCAACAGTGGTGTTGAACACCAGTGACAACATATCATGTCTTAATAAATGGGTCATAATTCCTTGTTTTTGAATTGAATTTGTAATTTAATAGCATTAGTGTTACCATTTAGAACGGTGTTAAATATCGGTGGTGCTGACCCTTAACATGCCAAGATGACGTGGACCTGGCCAAGGATTACAGCCTTGATGGGTACTTAAGAGTGAAATGTGAATGGCTAAGTTTACTTATTTGCATAAACTCCAAGTTCATTAGTGAAGAGGCCATATTAGCATGCCCAATTTGGCCATGGTTTCTAGCCGAGCCACACATTTTCCATTCTGGAGTCAAAAGATGAGTTGAATTTTTTTTTTTAAACAACACTAATATGACGCAACGGAAACAAGGAATTTAAGCAAAAATATTAGGAACACAATTTTGGAATTCACCAAATTAAATAAAAATAACTCGCGAAATTTTATTAATATAAAGTAATAAAAAATCATGAATTAACCCTTTATTTATAAAGGTTTACATGAAAACCTAGTTTAAACAACCTAAAATTGCAAATAATTTGAAATAAACTAAATTATAAAATAGCACTAAAGTTTAAAAGCAGTTTTCGAGTCCTAAACGAACTCGGATGGCCAAAATCCATCGTATGTCACAGTGTAGCGATGAGTTCTACTCGTCTCATCGTTCTCTTTTCGAAATGGTATTATGAGTCCAAATCGGAGCTCAACTGTCACACCTGCACTATTGTCTTTTTTTATTTTCGGTCCAACCCTTCTTCAATTCATTCAGCCATCTATTCTTCGCCATAATAGTAATGAAAATAGGTCAATACATTACTACAATTGCTGTCTATGTTTTCGTACTTCAAAATAGTCGTATAATTACATCGTTATCAATATTTACTCTCTTGCAATAGAGATAAGCTTAATGTGATACTAATTGGTATCACAGTGACCTTTCGAATAAACTTGGTGTTAGCTATGTGAATGTTTTGTCTCCATTGCTTTTGATTCATTGATATGTTTTACAAGATTTTAATTTAACTAGACATACACTTTGCTTCTGGTTGACGCGTATTTTTTAGGCGTTGATATCTCTTTTTTTTCTTTTTCTTTCTAAATTTTACAGGTCGAATTATTTAAAATTTCCTGTCCTTTTCCCTGATCTGCTATTAGCTTTTTATTTGCGTGGATTCTGAAATTTGACTCTGAGGAAAACATAACTCGCTCAATTTGTTGGGTGCTGCTGCAACCAGTTGTAGTATCAGGACAACAGTTTCGAGTATATATTTCATTTAGTACCTGGATCAGTTGCACCTTACTTCCTTTGTGAAAATTAATTTGCAACTTCATTATCCTGGAATCATGAAATTGACATTGCTAAAGTTCAAGGAAATAACATATGCTATACTATGTCTTGGATTAATTTTAGTGTTAACACCCTGTGTGCCTAGGTGCAGGGGTTCCCACTTCCTTACCATTTTATTGATATTAGTAAGAGATTACAATAGGGAGGGGCCAAAACCATGTTTCGTATTAGACTCCCATGATAATTAAGCTTGTAAACTGAATCTCACATATGTTGTTATTTATTATATCGGCAATCATTATCAGCACTTGCTCGACAATGAAAGGGGGAACATAGTGCCTTAACCATAAGAATAGTTTTTAACACATATCTTTGTTTCATATGTATTTTTATGTAGATAGGCTTAGTGGGGGTAGTGAATTACCAAGTTAGGGGTAGTGAATTACCAAGTTAAATGCATTTTTTTTCACAGGGAAATGATGTGGGGACACAGTACAGGTCAGGAATATACTACTACAATGAGACGCAGTCTCAGTTAGCCCGTGAATCATTGGAAGCAAAGCAGAATGAATTCCCGAATACGAAGATTGTCACCGAAATTCTTCCTGCAAAGAAATTTTATCGAGCAGAAGAGTACCACCAGCAATACCTGGAGAAGGGTGGAGGCAAAGGTCTAAAACAGTCAGCTGCTAAAGGCTGCAATGACCCAATCAGATGCTATGGTTGATGCAACAAGCAAAGCAAGGTCATCCCTTTCCCAAGTTCTTCAATGAAATATGTCTAGTTTATGGTATATTCTAATTCCATATATCGTGATATGAGAATTATACTTTGGATTTTTAATAATGTGTCTGTCCTACATTTTATGTTTATGACTTTATGCTGATGGTTCGAGTGCTGATAGTCAGTGTAAAAGATTGTGATAATGAATGTATGCTGCAAACATATGAAGTTTCCCTATGACCTGGGTGATTTGTTCTAGAAATTCTATGAATTATACTTAAATTGTTGCATTGACAACTATATCACGATAAGATGGAAAATAAACTCATTGAAAGATAACTATGGGGCTTATCAGCCTACTCTTTTAGCCCATCAGCCTACTGTCTACATATCTTCGTATCTCAGCTTCATCGGATATCTATGAGCTGATCAAATTTACTCATCAGTCCCATCAAACATATGTGAGCTTATCAGCTTACAGTTTAGATCATCAGTCTATATAGCTCATCAACTTTTCCTTGTACTCGTCAAACTAGTTGCGAATTGATCTGCTTCAAATCAAGTAGCAAGCAAGCCTTATCGAGAGGGAGCTCGTTAACTATATGTGATGCAAGAGCACGAGTCCATTTTTCCGAACTCTTTTAGACTAGTATTCTTACATTAATTTCCATTTGCACTCTCATTTTGTACCTCTTCTAGACTAAGGATTGTTTCTTAATGGGAATTTCGCAAGTAACTTCTGATTTCTAATGCATTAACGTCAAATTTCTTCAGTAGTCAATGTGAGATAATCTTCAATTGCTGTTATTGTCAATGTTGATCTACAAAAGAACACAACTCTAAGGAGACACTGAAGTTGCCTAGGTGAGGCCTTCCGACGCTCTCGCCAGCCTAACGTTATGCATATAATACACACGAGAGAGTTATCAGTCTGGTTTATATAATATAAAGTGAATCGGATGGTTTTTCGGAGGCTATTACATTTCATTTGCAAGATTTTCTGAAGGCTGTTTTGATGTGCATAAAGGTAAGTGTTGGTTTTTCATACACGCTCGATAAAATAACTCAATGGATAAGCTTCGACACATACGATACTGTGGGGTTGGGGTGGGGGGCACCAAGAACATCCTTCATACATAATTCTTCACTCAACACACATAAACCAAATCACTGGTATTTCAAACTATACCCACTCTTTTTTCACAACAGAGAAGGAAAAGGTTTCAGGTCATGATTTGAAATTCCAAGAGCAAAATACACACCTCATAATCATAAATTAGATACTTTCCTAATTCCTATTGCTTTCTTACCTCCAATTAACAAATCGCACAACAACAATAGCACAGAAACGAATAAATTTACACGGCTCGTATTCTATCCAGCCAATCCACACTCTTGCGTGCTTTCTCGAGCTGAAGATCAATACTCTTCCGAGACTTTTCATGATATTCTACACTCCTCCGAGATCTTTCTCCATGGTCAGAATACACCCTCAACTTGGAAACCTTGTCATCATTATGAAATTTATCTTCATAATTCTTTAGTTTTTTGGGCCTATCAGTGCTCCGTCTGGGTTTCTCCCTGCGGTCAGTGCTCTTCCTTGGAGTCTCAAAACAATCCGTACTCCTTCGGGAATGTTCAGGCCGGTCTACGCTTCTCCTTGAAGTGTTCCTCTGGGAGGGTGGTTTTTCGACCGTAGAGACAAACTTCTTTAGGTGCCTAAGATATTCGGGATACAGTTCTAAGTTACAGTGATTACCTCCCTCAAGCCATAATGGTTCATACTTCTCTTGGCATAGTTCATAGAGTTGTTTCCCATGAGAACAATCCACAACATCATCAGAAGTGCCCTGTATAAAAATATGGTAAGTAGAAGTGTATAGGGAAAAATATTGAACTTTGGTCGCATATGAATGATGAAACCAACTAATATCAAAACAAGGAAACATCAAGAACCCTACTGCAAGTAAATAAGTTTACCCGTGTTGAATAATGACAAATCTATACAAATAATATATATGGAAGACGTAGAAGATTCTCGACAATAAAGTGTCCATTGGAGTAAAGATGTTCATGATATCAATAATTGCTCTATATCATTGCAAGAAGCAAGTTATACCAAAATCTGTACTTACATGAATAACAAGAACTGGACATTTCACCAATGGAATTTTGTCTATATTCTGCATCACATCAACAGGAAGAAACGTTCAGTCACAGAATGTGCACTTCCCCAATGGAGATGAAATAATCAGGAATCAGGAACACACCCATGTGTGAGCAGGGATAGTAAGAATGATATTAGAAAGATATATAACCGGAAGACACGGAGAGATCAGTAACCAAGCATTACCTTGTAGATATCAAACCAATACGAGCGTTTCACAGGATACATGACTCTTAAGCCTGATAGAATAGGACTGTGCAAAATAACAGCTCTTAGACGAGGCAATCGAGCTGCAAGATCTAAAGTAGGGCCACTTCCAACAGATTGACCATAAAGAATGACGTCTTCTTGCTTGGCACCATAACTCTCTTCAAGACACTTATACGCAGCTTCAATGTCTGCATAGGTATTATGCTCACTTGGCTGAAAAAAAGAAAACATACTAATTTCAGCAGGCGCTCTCAGACAACCCATCACTTAATAATACAAGGGGACTTTTATTGAAAAGTAAATTCCAATTACCTTTCCTGATGACTGCCCATACCCTGAATAGTCATACCTGCATAACAAATAAAAACAATTCATCTGCAAGTTCTAACTTGACAAGTTATCCACTTATCAAGGAAAGCATCATAAAAACAAATGAACGTTTACTTGATGTATGGTTTGCCTCTATCTTGAACAAGGCAATGCTTTTTCATATTTTCTACCCAAAAATATGTTTCAAAATCCGTGCACATCTTAATTAAAAAAAGATAATCACAAATTGCATGTCATCTGTGAAACATAAAAATAAAATAACAAACTCAGGATATATTACAATACTACTATTTTTGCATGCACAAATTAAGAAAAGGGAAATTTACAACTTCCAAACAGAACTTGCTGTCAATCATGAGTGATTGACAGAGTGTTGAATTGGACCATTAAAACCTCTTCAAGACTACCAAATGCTCAGGGAGTATGGAAAAAGATTACAAGACAACATTGTACACCTGCTTTGTAGCTCAAGCTTATCTAAGTTTCATTAACTATAGTTTAATTTTCTTAAGTCAAAAAAGGATCAGAATAATTACAAAAGCAGTAGGTTCGACAAATATCTCTGAATTCGTTGTCAACATATCTCTTTTATGAAATAGATGTCAAGTGAGAGAATAGATTTATGCTTGCGCTATTATATCCAAGTTTTGCAATCTAATACAGAAAGTCCATCAATGTCATTGTACAAAACATTCACCACTGGAATTCTAACCTCTAAGATCAACCTTTATTTGTTGCATCAAAGATCATATCTTTTCATTCTTAAATCTGATATATGTTAGCTCCACGTCTCGGTATATTACAATGTCCATCTAAATTGTAATCATGACTCAAATTCATTTACGGTAATTTTCTACAAAATTCTTACGGACCCACAAGTGAACAATTTGCACACATGCTTGCTTCAAACTTCTATTCCAACAACTAAATCAATTTTTTAGTCACTTAGCCCTAGTTTGAGCCGCATTGTTTCCATCAAAATGCGTTTTTAAACAGTGATTTGACCCATTTCAACCACACATTCTTTAATAAAAATTAAATTACACGCAAATCCAAAATTTTTCTTATTTTTTCACCAAACATTCGTTATCATAACACTATTGCAAAATACATTATTTTGAAAAANAAAAAAAAAAAAAAAAAATTGGGGCTCAAATAGCCTTTTAATCTTAAAGTAATGAGTTTTTCCACCACCCAAACGATGATAATCAGTTGTGGGTAGCAATTCCCACTTTCCCCATAATTTATGTTTTATGCTATTCACCCTCACTAGAAATGATGTTGAGAAGGTTTCTGTTTTAGAATATGATAACCAAATTATTTCATAGCATTTTAACTTGACCGGCATTCAGTATAGGCTTTTTAGAGAAGGACGATATACTTCAATCATGACATTGTAGAGTTGCGAATTAGTCTCGTGAATCGGATCAATTTATGTTCCTAATGGTTGAGATAGTGTTCCTAATTCAAAAGATTTTAATCTAGAATACACATTTCTATTATGCATAACCCAATTTCTCATAAATTTGAGATCAACTACGTGAATTTTTTTTTTTATCACTCCTTACGTTTCATTGCTAGATCTACTAGGAGATCGAAAGCAAATAGGTCCTTAGTATCGGGCAATTCCACCCAGAAGGTAATGGGTTACTCGTTATGATAGTTTCCAATTTGTAATTTTGATAAGTGCCTTATTGTTAGGAATCTTCCACAAATTATTAGGTCTAGTCTGTATAATTCAAGAATAAGTGCTAGAACATCAATCAAGTAACATTATGTGATATGCTCAATGAAATATATAATTAAGTGGTTCATTCAATTGTACACTTCATTTAACTCTACATTAGTGTCACTTAAACACGTGTTTAACACCAGTGGTGCTAAATAACATTACTCATAATTATTCTCGTCTCTACTTTCTTTCTCCTTCTTTCTCTTTATTATTCTACGTCTCTGGTATCCTCGATTTGCAAGCACATTTAATTTGGCATTCTCTTTTCAACTGAAGGGTTTTATCTCATTTACACACTAGTATACTTGTATGCCACTTACTCTAAGATCAGCAACACGAGGCAACGATACCTGAGATTATGCATTTAACACTTACATACCTCTCAACAATCTCAACATATCTGATGGACATGTGAGACTGAGCATCATATTTTTCTTCTATTCAGGTAGTTTTCCATGTGTTTCTATATTCTTAAAGGGAAAAAAAGTAAGCAATATCTTTACATTTTCCCAACACATGGTCAATGGTCACCTAAATTAGCTTGTTAGACTAAAATTACAAAGAATTGACTCTTGACTTATCAAACTTCTCTCACAATTAATAGAGCGAAGTTACGTGTCAGAACTGGTCGCCTCCATTTGCAACTTCAAATTGTGTGGGATGGAGGGATCATGGGGCTCATCTTACTTCATCTGCGAGGGACTAGGGTACGTCTAGCTCTTCGCTAGTTCTCTTCTACAATGTCAGATTCATTTCTTTATAGTTTCAGGGTTTACTCGTGCTTAAAGAGAACCGAGGCACATACCTGGTGCACTTCAATAAGTCAAGATACAAGTTTTCACAAATAACACTTGAAGCATCTGCTTTGAGGCTCTAAATGATAGCCTGACATGAGGCACATCTCAAGGCATAAACTAGCAACATTCTAAGCGAACATATTCATGTGAAGTTAAAAGTCCATTGTCCACAATCTTCCTCGTAACACACAACTTAAAATAATCATACCCCAAAACCACCAAAGAACATCACTTCCCAACCATACCATAAGATTCAAACACTTTGTATCCTCCACACCAGCAAACAAATCACAAAATCAGTAAAAGTCAAAACACTATGATTTCATCTCAAAATTACCCCTATATCTCCCCATGAATTAGTCTCCAAAATAAGATAGAAATGTAGATGTATAGCACCAAAAACCCCAATGTGTGAAACCATCATAAAAAAACTAATATATTTTTTTTAAAAAGTAATTTTCTATCACAATATCCCCGGCAAATGGTACCCATTTAATCCAACCAGGTCAAAACTAATAAAACATATATTACATAAACACCTATAGATGCATACATAGCATACTCTTTTATGTAATTATAATCTTCATTTACCTGGAATTATCAATACAGACATAAAACTAGATTTTCAAACCAATTCAAATCAATTTCACCACTAGTTATAAGAAAAAAATCCCAAAAAGTTAACTGATGTAAGAAGAAAACAAAAACCCATCAAAAGATATCCAAGAATCAGCTCGAATTCACCCACAAAACATAAACTTAAAAATTCAAATAGCTCACAACCAAAATCCTTTGTCCAAAATTCCAACTATATTCACACAGAAAGCAAGTTAAATTACCCCATGAGGTTGACTCTCAAGTGGATGCTGAGCTCTATAAATAGCTCATACATCTGCCCAATATCCGCCGCGTTGCCGTGGGAGTAAAGCAGTGTGGAGGCAGCCATGGGGTAGCGTATGTACATGGCCACAATTTCCGTGCCCCTCCGCGTCGGCAGCTTCAAAACATCGACGTTTTCACGGTGCGTGAAATTGTCCAGCAGCAGCAGCCCAGTTGTCTCGTCTGTAATTAGCTTGTAACTTGGTGGGCTCGGTGGAAAAAATGCTAGCTTTGCTGCCATCGACGACGTCACCCCTCCCATCTCTCTCTCTCTCTCTACTGGTTTTGCTTGTGGGTCATTAAACTGTATCGATTAATGTGTGTGTGGCCGTGTGTGAATTGAGAAAAACTGAAGAAGAAAGAAGATGCAGGTAGAGAGAGCTGTTTGGTAATTTATTAGTAATTTAATATCCACAAGTCATATTTCATTTATTTCAAAGTATATATACTAATTTGTAAGATAAATTGCTACTATAATAAATAAAATTGTGTGTCACGTAATAATAATAATAATAATAATAATAAATTAATTAATTAATTTTAGGATTATGTTGAAAATAATTAATTATTTATTTAATTGATGTGACATTCCTCATAGTCCATTGAACCGAGCTGCACTGTCAAGCCTGTAAAAGGTCTGATAGAGCAAATGTGAAATGCGGATGGGTGTTTAACATTTGGTTGGTTGGTGGGTGGGTGGGTGGGTGGGGGGTGTTTACTGAGGTGGGTCCTCGTGTGAGAACTTTTACTCAACGAGGCCTGTAAGCAACATTATTCTAGTCCATTTGATCCTAACCCCAAGTTAGGCTCGACGTTACTTGGATATATGATGGAGTCAATGTTGAGGGCATGATAGTCTAAAAAATGTCCCAAAGAAAACAATTAACTTCTAATCAATTTTCCTGTGCCAAACATAAAAGATAAGAAAGCCAACGAGCAATAATTGCCTTTAAACACAATAATTTGAATAATGTAAAATGTCTAATGACTATAGTGTGTCACTATCACTTTTTTCAATGAATTAAAAATCACCTAATGTTATTTGGAAGCTATGCGTTGTCTATCAACATCTGTCTGATAGTGAAATAACCATCATATTCTCTTATAAATTTGGTTATAGATTTGTCATTTTAAATTCTATATATAAGATGACAAATCAATTAAAATTATCTAAATGAATAGCATTACTCATAAATTTCGGATGCTTGTTATACCGCCTCACTACCATATCAGTTGTTTTTCGGCAAACACAATTTATTCGACATTTATAAAATAGCATGCGATTATCTTTTTTTTATCTGTAAAATGAATTATATACATCAAAAATCATATATAAATATTCTGGACATAGACGAGTGAAACAAAAAAATGAAGTTACAATGAAAATACAACTACTATGGATATACCCAAGTAATCAGCCAAAGGGGTACAAAAAGAGAATACAAATCAATTCATCGCGACAGACTCATAAGAAATCAAAATATTATGATACAAAGAAAACATCACTTTGTATAAGTGTGTTTTGATTCTTCATACAATACTCTCAACATGGGGTTTCAAATTTTCGAAAACCATTATATTTCTAACCAACCAAATGTAGTAGATGAAACTATCTAAATCAATCATTTTAGCTTTGTTGCGCCATGATGTTCTTCTAGTCTCCTTCTTTATCCACTTTAGTGCATTAGCCATGGTAGTCATAACTCTTGTAATGCCCAACCAAGTCTTGACTACCACAGAGATGTATAAACATTGTTTACATCTAACATTACTCTTTATTCTAGTGCAAATACGTACTTTAATTCTAGTTTTCTAATTTTAAAAAAATCGAAGAAATTCTTGCTAATTATTAAGTTTTGGTTGAAGTTTATTAATAAGGTTTGAGTTCTAAGTTATACTTAAATCATGAATCAATTGAAAGATTTAGTCCACGGAGATTAACATCAGATTTTTAATAAATTTTGATAAAAATATGGTTAAAAACTTGTGAATCTCGTAAAAGGTGTAGTTAAAATTAATTGTGTAACTTTAATTTCGAATTTTAGTTTAATTTTAATCTACATCGAACAAAGACTTAATAAATCTAATCATCTTAGTTTTCAAGCTGCAGTTTTCAACCCTAAAACTTATGATTAAGGGTAAATCTCAAGTTACCTAAGTATAAAAAAAATAATAAAATATTAAAGTTGGAATTAGTTCAAAAAAGTAATTTTATTTCTTTAAAGGTCAAAAAACAGTAGCCTGCTCATAAGTGGTCAAAATTAATATACAAATCAAAGATTCGTAAGCATATTATGGGTCGGTTCTGAGGGCAAAAGTTGGACAATGCAAATGAATGTGGGTTCATGTGTCTTGAGTCCCACCCTACCCTAATTTTAAGGGAATGGGAGTGGAGGGTTTGAGTCGGTTTGGATTAAAATTAAATTAAAATTTTAAATTAAAGTTTACCAATAATTTTCATTATATATTTTATGGGATCAACAATTTTTTAATCGCACTTCATTAATTTTTATCAAAATTTATTAAAGAATAATTATATTTACACCACAATTTTAATTACGTTTAAAATTCTGAATCTTTACTCGTTATAGAATTTTTGTTTCGAACAATTTTTCATAGCATTTTTACTCAAAATTTTCGTTAGTTAATATATTTTGTATTTGATCACATTTTATGTCCAAAAAGTTCTTTGACAACTTATTTTTCCATCATATTTAATAAATAAAAAAAAAGTAAAGAAAAAAAGTACAAAAAATATTTTTTCTCCCGTTTCAAAGCATAGAAACAAATTTTTTTTTAACTTAAATCATCATTAAGGACGAGATCTACTAAATAATGAAAAGTTGAAGATAAGAATCCGATGAAAAAAAGTTAAAAAACAATTGTTACAATGAGTAAATATTGAAAAGTTTAAATGCAATTAAAATGTGGCGTAACAAATAAAAATTGTGGTGACAATATTATCATCATTTTATTAAAAAATTTGATTTTACCCTACGCCAAATAGGGCCATATGATAACATATTTGCGCTTTTGTCCCGCGCCCTACCTCATGCCCCGGTGGGGTAACATGGATATTATATGATATGAACCACCAATTCTGCAGGTTGGTTGACAATTTTTTCGACGGGTTGTCAATTATCAACATTTAATTGGATGTTGGACACAAAACATAATTCAACCAGTTAATGTAGTATTGCCACATGTTCATTTCTAAAATTTCTTGTAAAAATCATCTGTACAAAAAGCTTAATTCATGAACTACATAATATATTGGTCCCCACAAAGTGAGCCTAATGATTTTATATCGACACGTTAATCACTCCTTATTGTTAAGGTATTCGAACATGGGGATGAGTGTAGGTTAATTATCTCTACTTTTGATGTTGATTATTTTTAAGGTATATCATCGAGGGATGTTTGAAGCTTTTTATGTTGTTTACTTTAGGACCACTAGACAAGATTTTTGAAATGTTAAAAGTTATTTCTAGCATTATAAACTGACTTTTAGACTTGTTTGAATAATTTTCTGAAAGTGATATATTCAATTAGAAGAATTTTTAGAGAAAATTAATTCTTGTGATTTTTTTAGAAAATCTTCTACGAAAAGTAGAAACAGAAGTATAAGCTACTAAAATAGGCCTTCGTTTCATCATTTGTCATTGAAGGATGTAAATATTTTTCAAATTTATCGTTAAATTTTTTTTTTTTTTTATTTAAGTTTAACCTTTAAAAAAAAAAAGATAAACCTTCGATTATAAACCTCATGGCTCTGCTCGGCTCGGCTCTGCTCGGGTTGGTCTTTTCGACAAGCCCGAATGGCCAAGCGACGAGCCGTTCAACTCGGTTGCCACCCCTACTTTTTTCCAACATAATTAACTTAAAGCCAACTATAAGCATGAAATAACTAGGTAAAGAAAATAAAAACCTTATATATAAATTAAATCATTTTCATTTCCATATGTTTGTTTTTAAAATTTTTGAATTAAAAAAAAAAAAAACTCAAATCAACGCAATACGTACAACAGTTGCTGGAGGAAAATGCCAAATTCATCTTTTATTTTAATTCTCCAACTTTAACCCTAATCTACTAGAAAAATCGTGGAATTAGGTTGGCCCCGCATTAAAATACGTCCATTTGTCCACGCATCAAAATTAACAGCAAAACGTCAAATTACTCGTTTTTTTCCTAAGGGGCCATTTGTGAAACCTTTCTAAGATTAGGTGATTAATACCAGGGGCGGATACAGGAAATTTTTTCAGGCAGTATTAGTAGAAGTGAAAAAAAAATTAAATTATAACACAAATATTATACTAAAAACATGATCAAATCCAATGAGAATTCAAATGCAGAGAAAATATAGATCAAAAGACAAAAGACAAAATCAGTACAAATGCAACAAGCCCAGAAACCACACAATAACTTAATCAATTTGCCGTAATATGGCATGTGAAAAAAAGACAATTTTTTAAATAATACACAAAAAATCCATGAATACCAAAAAAATTAAAACGTACTCATAATAAAAAATAAAAGTTGTTGTCCATACTCAAAAGACTGATTATGAAGAACCATACCATGTGACTGTTTTTACTTGGTGTGAAACGAATGGGAAATGAGAAAAGGAAGAAGAAGATTACAAAACTAAATCAAACAAAATAAGGGGTAGAAGAAGAAGATTATAAAAAATTATCCGATAATTACCTCATTCAATTGATACCCACAACTTTACTTCTTCAATTTCATGAATTTGGGACCTCGTTGTTTTGGTAGAAATTTGGAATTTCAATTCTCTATGGGGACTTGCGTGTTCAATCAATTGGGATTATTGGGAATTGGAATGGATTGGGTGTGTGTTATGTAAATCAATGGCATCCATCTATCTTACAATTTGGCCAAATACTTTTTTTTTCTTTTTAGGAAATTACCTAAACCAGTTGTTTAGTTTGAACTTTCTAAAAAACAGGTTTAAACGTTTTTTAATCAAAAATNCTGTTGCGGTAGGTATGTGGTTGTAGTGGTTACTGCGACGACGGTGAGGTGGTTAGTGTCGCTTTGTTCTTCGTTGGTGATAGAGGTTGGTTGAAAAATGTTGGTTGTGGTAGTGGTTGCTCGGCGGGTGTTGGTAGTGGAGGTGTCGACTTTTTGAGGTTTCTTTTTTTTTTTGTTTATGTTTGTGAGTTTCAGATTGGAGACGGTGTTGGTGGTGTGGCGGTAAGGTAGTGTCACTACTGGTTGTTGTAATGTTTGGATAGTGGTGA